TGGTGCCTCATGTGCTCTAAATGTATCACGCTAAAAACCATTATCTCTAAACCTGTAATCATCACTAAAGCACTCATTCAGGGCATTGCATACACTGTGTGTTTACGGCTTTGCCACACAACTACATGTGAGTCTGTCTCATGTAATCGTTTCATATGGTTGTCCTCTGAGACCAGCGCCACGTGTGTTGGGAGAAGGTTCAATCCCTCCCCTGCTAACCTGGATTTGTACATATACAGTATGTACAGTACATAGATGCATTAAAACCTAACAGCTGCAAATTACAAGATAATACTTGATAAAGGGATTTACTTGCACTAACCCGAGTTTACATGATTCATTTATTTACTGGGTTACTCGTATATGGGAAACGCTTGTATTTGTAATGCCACATAACACGGCATTTCTTTTTTTTGACGATTGTTTTGTTGATTTTGTGTTAGATTCATGTATTTTCTTACACCATGGGACATGCTACAAAATCCCAGTTAGCATCAATTTGGTGATTTGTAGGTTAAGACATATCTTTGTGAAAATCAGGAGAAAAAACTGACACATTTGTGCTAATATGTGCTAATGGCCTTCTCTACATTGCATTTTACAGTCAGATTAATAACTGAAATAGTCCTAAGCATGTTACTGTGTAATGAAACTGATAACTAGTTGCAGCCCGTCTGCACAAAACATGCACTTGAGAATTAATGAGTTATTGACCTTTAACTTTATTTCCAGTAAAATAATCCAATTTAAAGTTTAGCATGACAGTTACAAGTGTCACGTTATGAGTGTGTATGTAAACACAGGCTTTGAGGGGGAGATGATTGCCATCGTGTTTTTACACAGCCCTGTTTTTATCTTCTTAAAATGAAAACTAGCTTCTCTGCAGAAAATCATTAGAAACGGCGAGCTTGTCATTCCTACATTTTGCTGTTCCAGCATTCCTCCTTTTGACTTTAAGTGTCTTTGTCGGGTGTCTTTTTGAAAAGCAGAGAAGCGTATCTTGGTTGATCTTGCATGTCTTGAGCATATCGACAACAGGAAGCAGCCGAAAGGAGGCGTTGTGATTTCTGTGTCAATGTAACACGGAGTGGAAGTGGAGCACTGTGGAGGGGGTGAATGGGAGGTCAGCAGTTTCAGAGATTGTATTAACTGAGATTTAAAATTCTTCCTTTTCACACATTGCTCTGCTTATGTCTGCTTTTTAAAACTACGGACTGTTGCCACATATCTGAAAAGGAAATCAAATGTATCACCCGACCAATATTAATGTCACTCAGTCAGCGAACAGAATATCAAACACCACCCATGCAAAGTAGCTTCATTTTCAGAGCCGTTTCCCCTTTTTTAATTGAAGGCTCTTTAATCCCTTTCCTGTTTCATTTGTTCACCTGCTTAATGTCCAATGTGCATTCAAAACCTTCTGTATTTACCAGTTAAAATGCAAATGTGGGCCGCAGGGAATAATAACCCCAAAGAGCCGGCTCGGTAGACGGGCAGCCTGTGGCTCTCGAGAGCTTTTTCCCACCGCGCTGAGAGCAGAGCCAGGTGAGAGTCTCCCCCCAAGTGTCCCTCGCCTGCCATTGTCCAGGCTTAGCGGGTCGCGTCCAGATCCCACCACCCTTTTGACTCACCCGCGGGTTTCACGGCCACTTTGCACGGAATGACTGTTATTCACACAGCCAATAAAACCCCGTGCTGACTGGGGAGGAATGAGTCTGTCCAGCCCCGGTGGCTTCAGCGACAGCAGGGATTTTGACTCCATGAGGACCCAATTAAACCTGGGAGGGCCTCTCTGAAGGAATAATAACAATGATAAATGCACCTCTGTGGTCAGCTTAAGAGAGTCCGGGAGAAATGTTTTATTGTGCTGGCCTGTCTTGACACAATTTGCTCCGAGCTTCTGTTGTTTTGCAGCATCAGGAGGTTTAAAATCTTACCTAGTGAAAGCTTTTTTTGCTAGGTGAAGCCTGGTGTCATTTTTTAAAACATCCTGATGACTGCGCTTTATGCAACATCAAACTCTCACTGTGCTTGCTTTGAATTGGCTTAGGATGTTGTGACTCCCGGCCAAAAAAAGTGTGTGTGTGTGTGATAAAGTGTGTGTGTGTGTGGTTGTGTGTGTGTGTGTGTGGTGTGTGTGTGTGTGTGTGTGTGGTGTGTGTTGTGTGTGGTGTGTGTGTGTGTGTGTGTGTGGGTGTGTGATGTGTGTGTGTGGTGCTGGTGTGTAGTGTGTGTGTGTGTGTGTGTGTAGTGTGGTGTGATGTGTGTGTGTGTGTGTGTGTGTGTGTGTGGTGTTGTGTGTGTGTGTGTGTGTGTGTCGCTGCACTGGCTGTGTGTGTGAATGTGCGTGTGCTAGTGTGCTGTGTGTGCTGTGTGTGTGTGTGTGTGTTGAGTGTGTGGTGTGTGTGTGTGTGTGTGTGTGTGTGTGTGTGTGTGTGTGTGTGTCGTGTGTGTGTGTGCTGTGTGTGTGTGTGTGTGTGTGTGTGTGTGTGAGTTGTGTGGGTGTTGTCCTGTGTGTGTGGTGGTGTGATGAAAAGATCTATCCCAATTGTGGTTAATTATTATGACTGTTTAACTCATTTGTCAATCAAAATTGTTGGATATTTTCACGGTAATAGATTCTCAATGTGCAGATTCTCAAATTAGTTAAAATACATCTTTGTAATAAATATGTCGAACAAATAGGCAACTTAAAGGTTGTCATTTTAGCTCTTGGAACGTGAACAATTAGTAATACCATCTTAATAAGAAAAGCATTATTAGTCATATTGATCATATTTCAGAATCCAATTGAAGTGAGAAACCTCTTTGTACTGACATGTATTTTTAGATCATCAATAACTATGAGTTTGTTTTGTATATTTAAAAAGAGGCTTTTTTTCCTCTGTTAGGTGGTAATTTGAAGAAAAACTCCATTAATTAGATAACAGGCGTCTGTATTTCAGATTTGCACTTTGCCAGCAGTTTGTCAATTACTGCTTGTGGTTTCATACTGCCAGTCAGTCTTTGTCTGGGCGCCCAGCCTCCTCCTCACTGCGCTGCAGAGCCGTGTTATTGTACTTAAACAAATCAATTCTGTTGCAGTTGAGCTTTTTTCCTCCATCCCCCGTCATTATGAACTGTTTGCAGTGCAGAGCACATTGATTTTACACTGCCCTGCAAAAGCTCTTGATGAATAGCACAGAGGTATCTGGGGAGAATCTGGCTTTAAAAAGGAGGCACCCAGCATCAACCCCCCCCATCCTCGTCTCTCTCGACCCATTGAGCCCCCAGCGCTCCTCCACTTTCTCTTTTCAGAGAGCGGCACTTCCAACAGGGGAGAAATGCTGCCTGAAAAATCTTCTAATGATTAAAAAAAAACAGCATTACAAAAAAGTGCACAAGGGGCCGCCTTCTCCTGCTGAATGTGAAAATACACCTTGTGGGTAGACAGTTTTTATATTTGGAGCATTAGCCTTGTCCTGTCAACCAAAGCATGAGCTCAGGAGAAGCTCTGGCTTGGGATAGAAATGGCTAGCATGCTGTGTGTCACTACGCTTCCTGAAAGTGATACACTAACGGGATACAGCTACAGACTTTTAAGTTGGAGGGGTAAAGGAAAATGGCATTTGTACCTTCCTAACACACTCCACTTATATCAAAAAGCTAGACACATTTGCATTCTTTCTTTCACCATCCAAGTCAACATTTAAGGTATTAACTTGTTCTTTGTCATGCTATTTTATCAAAGAGGAGCTTGAGGAAATATTGAGTGCATGACATGGACAAAGAAAAGGCCAATTGTTTGTTTATATTCAACCCTTCTAACCTATGATGAGTATTCCGTAAGCATTGCCTTAACCTACACCCTTCATTCAAAGAGGGGTCGAGGACTTATTTATACTCACACGGGAAGACATGAATTCAACAAAACATCACATTTCTAGTGAAACAGAAGTTAGAGAGTGTATTGTTTTTGTACAAATCTTTCAAATTGGATTGGACAGCTGTTAGTGGGCTTAAAATCTAGCACGATAAGGAGCTACGGACTCACGCAAAGTTGCAGATTGATGAATGAATGTCATGCAATAACTGAAATTGATTGGTACTATCTTACGTAGGCACACATCTTATTGTGTTTTGATATAAAGAATACAACACTTTTTTTGTTGCATATATTGTTAAATAACTGCAGATTTTGACGGGAGTTGTGAATATAAAGATATTTGTTTTCATCTCGATGTTTAGTTGTGTGGAAGAATTTGCCATTGGGGATCATTTGAGTTTCTACATTCAGTTGTCATAGTTAAGCGTTGTTAGAAGCTCAGAAGAGGCTTGCATTAGTTATGGAAAGATAACACATAGGATCCAGCCTATGCTTGTAATTACAACTACTCACTAAGATTAATTCACTACGGAAAATTAAGTCTGTGTGCTTACTTGCTTGGGCGATCATAGATAAGATTATAAACTGTGTGGCCCCTATGAAATGTTGTCTTTATATGTGATATTCTATTAAGCACTAACTGGCTTATATGTTATGGTTTCTCGCACATTGGTTATCACCTTTTGAACTTCAGCGATAACTAATATGGTCATTTTAAAGGGTCTGAATGTCAGTGGGCATATGCGCGTGCCCAGCCAGCCCAGGCTAAGTGCAAAGCTGTGGTGAAGGCCTCTTTTAATAGGCTTATCTGTCAATCGGGAGTAAATTGTGAACGCTCTGCGTGGATGTTTATGATACCGTACTGATCATCAGTTGCTCTTTTTGATTCGTCCTTCATGGGCACGAGAGCATGAAGGAGCTTATCCGTGCAGGGAAGAAGTGTATCACGTTAAGCAAGGCGCAGATGGAAGCCACTCGGAGCCCAGAGGAATCTGCGAGAAGCAAAATCATCGAGTGGGCTTGAATTTTTGGGGAGAAAAAAAAAAATGCAAATGTGATCATTCAGTGTTTGGAGATTGGTGGATAATGCAGCGGTGATTGATGTATTTTCTTTTCCTCCTCTGATTTCTCTCAGGGGCAGAAGACGTGAGGCGCTGAAGTGTTTGTCCTCCTGGTGTGTGAATGGGTGGGGGGGTCCTGCGTGGTGGAGAATCAAGGATTGAAGTCATCACAGGTGAGTTTCTTTTTGTTTTCTTGTATGGTTGGACCTGTAGAGCCCAGCAGGTGTCTGGGGTAAAAAGTTGGTGTTACTACTATTGAAGAATACATGTATGCTCTCAAATTATTGTCAGTGTAGCTTAAAAAATCTGGAGGTACAAGTTGTTAGCGGCAGGCTAGCAGCTTTATTTTGGCCTGAATGTTAATAATATAAGGGTGTTGCATTTATTAAATTGCATAATCTATTAAAAGTGCTGTTGGGTTATTCGGTGTCAAATCAGATTATCGTTTACATTTTTGATTTTGTTTGATCGTTATTTCAATGCCCGCTGACAACAAATAAGTGATATTAAATATTTTTACAACATTTTGATAATTTCATCTATTTTTTGCCATGTATGATCATCTTGCACCCAAGATGTGGTTAAATATCTAAAGAAATATAACTTTCAGAGAAAATACTGTATATGTGTTTAGGGTGCTGACAAAATATCACATACTATCTAATAAACTCATTTATAAGAGCTAGTGTGGCTAATTTGTTTGCTAGAGCTTGCGGAGGGGCCCTCTGAGTGGTTGCTTTTGGCGCAGACGGTTTTATTAGAAAGTGCAGGTTATACCAATGTTGTTTATCTTTATGTTCTGTAAATCTGAGAGCAAGAATGAAACATTTGTATGAAATCATTTAATAATTTGAGAGCATGATGAGCTATTAACATTTGTGTTAAAGTCCCTGAGACTCAAAGGCTTTGTAAGGACTTTTTATTACCCGAGATGACTCTTGGTCTCAAATTAAACAAAGCTTGTTGCTGGAAACAGATATCTGCCTCGCATGTCACTACAGTTGATTTAAAGACTACAACTTTGTTTGCTCGGATATGCTCTGTCCTCCGCTGTGCTTGAAAGTCTTTGGTAAACATTTGATGGTGGGCAGCAGTTTGTGTGTGGCCAGCGTCAGCTCACCTTGCAAAGCATAAGGAATTCATTAGGAGCTCCTGGGGGGGCTCTGAGTAACAAAGTGCAGATATGTTGCGTGTGTTTATGTCTTTTGCTGGCATCCAAGTCCATAGGCAGTCTGATGAAAGTACACACACACACACACACACACACACACACACACACACACACACACACACACGCACACGCACACAGAAACAGAAGGTCATGGCTATCCTCTTTACCAGCAATCCACCAGTTCATCCTTATGCAATATGTGGCTCAGTTCTGTTAAAAGGGAGAATTATGTGGTGGAAAGGGAATGTAATTGGTTCGTCCACTGTATTATACAATACAGCTAGGGCTTCATGGATTAGGAATTGGGACATCCCACACACACACACACACACACACACACACACACACACACACACACACACACACACACACACACACACACACACACACACACACACACACACACACACACACACACATATACACACACACATATACACACACTGAATATATAAGAGTGGTTAATCTTGATTAGAGCAGTGTGAATGCTGAAAAATATGGTGCCCAGACAAACATCTGCCCGCCACACAGCTGAGTGGGATAAACCAAAGTGATTATTGTGGAAATGTCAGGCGAGGTAGACAGTGAGAGCAAATGCACGAGGGGGGGGGGGGGGGATACGACATAAACAGGGACATGACATCAGGGCTTCACAGTCAGTTCTCAGATTTTCCCCTCTCACTGTTGACGTAAGGCTGCCTTTGCAGAGGGAAGATCTAGCTGGGTTTGATGGAGAGGCTGCAGTGAAAGAAATAGCGACAGACTCAAGAAGAGAAGTGTGATCTCAGAGGAGGATAGCCTTATATGATCACCAGAGATTAAGTGTGTAGGATTGTATCTAATGAGTATTGCTTAATCTATAGAATGTCGGAAAATAATTAGTAAAAACGGAATATTACACCTTCTTTGCTCGGTCCTTAACAAAAAGAAAACCTGTTTTTTATATGTTTTGTTTAATCTTTCCATTTCACTTAAATTGTTATTTACATTTTATCAAGGTTTTGTATGTTAATTTGCCAATTGATTAACCAACCAGGTCTTTAAGCACTGAACAGTTTTTGCTCGTTTAATTTCAGTTGGCTGATGTCTGAAGGTTGCAGGGCTGGTCAGGGTAAGCCCTAATGAATAATTGCTTTCCTCTGTGAAATGTGAGGGGTGCAGACATTCTGTTAACCTCGCTTAAAGGGGAAGAAAGGGGGAGGAAGAAAAAAAATCCCCTTCCTGTCAGTGGTCTTTCTTCCTCTCTGTTCTTGTGAGATCTGGAACTGATAAGCGTGAGGCCTCTGGTAACTGAACAGGAAGGACAGAGGGCCCGGCCCCTGAGCCCCTGCCTCTGCACACATGTCCACCTCCCCTGCACCGGGAAACAAAGAGAGCACGGCCCGCCACTTAACTTCAAGTTTCAAGCTTATTTGAAGGATTATTATCACTTGTTGGGCTGAAATCTAGTTCTGAAGCGAATTTCTGTTGAATATAATAACAGAGAGGCATTTTAAACAAACGGTCTTATGCTAAATGAATGCTTCGTAGCAGCTTCACACCCATGCGCAATCACAACTCCCTTGTTCAAGCGACCAGTGTTGAGTCAAGTGGAAGTACTTTATTAAACAAGCACATGGCAGTGAGGGTTTAACATTCAACCCGAACACCCAGCGGTCTGAATGACAAGCTGTTAAACTGATAACTGTGATAGGACCGTTGTTTCTATTCTTAGATGTTTCCTGAAGCAGGTGCTTTAACCGGGGGAAGCCACAGGACAAAATGTAACATAGAGTGAAGTTTCAAACCCAAAGAGTGACTTTTGTTTGGATAAGTGGTTGAGCAGAGGTTTGATAAACGCGTTTTTATGAACTCCAAGGTGTATGACGAGTGCACTTTGCTCTTCAAACAAAAGTTCTTAGGAACTACTTTGAGGTTGTCGTGCAAACAGAGCAACATGTGTGAAGTATTTACTGCCTGAATACAGACATTAAAGACACGCTAGGCGTAAGATCAAGGTTATAAACAACAGATTCTCAGACGTTTGTGAAAAACAAAGTGGCTGTAATCTTTGTAATGAAAATCTCCTAGGGTATACTACCAGGATATTTTTTAATATGTAAACATGTCTGTTTGGTAATAGAAGTATTCGTAAAAGTACTTTTTTTTTTTTTTTACTTTTCCATTTTTATTTTGCTATTAAAATCACATAAGCCAGAAGGTGTATGTAAACGATTGTTTTCCTTAAGAATGTCTCACATACATTTTTGTTGTTTATGCTTAATTCCTGGCTCATTACTTTTTTTTGAATAATTATCTTATATTGCCTTGTTTGTTGTCTGCACTTCATGTCACCATGGTCTTGAATTAATAAAACTAAAACTAGCCAATCAACATTTGGGATGGTACTTAATCTTGCATTTTTGGGCCCTTTTGTAGATGAACTCTCTTGACAGGATATAAATCACATTTTTACATTACATTGCATTTAGCTGACACTTTTATCCAAAGCAACTTACAATAAGTGCATTCCACCAAGAAGATACAAACTTGAAGAAAACAGAATCATATAAGTACATCAGGTTTCATAGAGCCAAAACATTTCAAGTGCTCCTCAACTAGCTTTAGATAAGCCAGTCCTTTATTAGTATATAAGTGCTTTGTTAGTAATTGTATTGCTCGAAGTGGAGTCGAAAGAGATGAGTTTTCAGTCTGGAAGGTGTGTAAGCTTTCTGCTGTCCTGATGTCAATGGGGAGCTCATTCCACCATCTTGGAGCCAGGATAGCAAACCCACGTGTTTTTGCAGATGGGAACTTGGGTGCCCCTCGCAGTGAGGGTGCAGCGAGCTGTTTGGCTGACGCAGAGCGGAGTGCACGTGCTGGGGTGTATGGTCTAACCATGTCCTGGATGTAGGAAGGGCCTATATGACGTGTAGAAGTTGCTACTATATAAAACAAATACCAAGCACATCATCAGAATAAACAGCTTGGGAATTAAACTGAACACCTCATACTGATGTGAACAGTGAACAACTATCCATGGATTTAGCCCTTGAAGCTTTTGTGTCACCATGACCGAGATGGTGCAGACTATTAACTCAAGGCTTCATTATTGATGTGTAGCAAGTGAATGGAAAGATGATTGCTTTTACACTACTGGCTTAGTAACAGGGAATGACAAGATAGCACTCAAGCCAGGTTGACTTCCTGCTTCCATCTATGATCTTATCAGTCTGGCTTTTCCTCTGTGCTGTACACTCATGTGGAATTTCCTTATAATCACCTTTTAACAATGCCTACCTATAGCAACTTTGGGAATCAAAGGCATATCTTTTTCAGAGCTTAGACTGTGGCGGAGATGTTCCGGGGTGGTATCCTTCCCATGAGAGAATGCGAGATAACGTACCAGGGTGACAGCTGAATTATTAGCCCATTAGTCACCGGAGAGAGAAAGTGGTGGAAGAACATGGCATCCGTCAAGAAAGTGCCTCTTTTTGGGAGATAGCCTCTCCCTAAACGCCACCCAGGAATCTTGTATGTCTCTCCCACTGATGTAGGAGCCGGAGGGCCGGGGTCAGGGAGCAGAGCTGGAGCTATACCGGTGCTCTATTAGCTCATCATGACCCATAGGAACAGAGCAGCATAACACCGAGGCAGAACTCTGTGTACCGGACTAAAAATAAACGTGGCGTCAACCCATCCTTCACATAGTCGCTTACGAATGAAGACGCACATGCTCATGCTTGTATAATGCGTGCACCTGCCTTCAAAGGCGATCGCAACCACCGGTGGTAGTCGAGGACATGTCAGAACATGTGTGATTGACAGGGTGAATCAGCGGTACAACATGTATATGTTCACGGACAGATGTTCTTCGCAGCCTGCACTGATAATCTCACTTCACGTACAGCAGGAGGAAGCCATTAAGTAACACTTGGCTCCGAGATGAACTTCCCCACTGCTTTGTGTGTGACCCTATTGAATCTCCGAGCCTCCTTTACATATAATGCTCCTTTGTATCGGCTATCTGTCCTGCTCTACTCAAACAAAGACACTGCACTAAAAAGAGTATTGAACAAAGTGTGTAGCACTTGCTTCCTTTGATGCAAAATCAAAGCTGATATCCCTTTTGACTTGCCTTCCACGGATAACTTGTCAATTTCCTGCTCATGATGAATAGCCTGAATATGCCACGCTTCATAAGCCAACATATTAATTAATGGCATGGTGCAAATTGTTTTAAGAACACTTGGCATTGAGATGCTGTCGGCTTTTGAATGGTCTACCTCAATACGACCACATTAAGAAGCTTTTTTCCTGCTTGATGCTGCCATATTATGCATTTCTCTGTCTGTGAAAGCAGTAACTGTGATCTCATTAGGTCTGATACACTCTTGTTAGAGAATATAACCAAGAACCAACAAGCTTGACTTGACTCCACACAGCTTCTGCTAAATGTAAAATGTCTAATGAAATGATTATAGTAGCAACGCAGCAGGGCCCTGAAATTAGCCCATCAGCTGGTCTGACTGCCATTAAACAGGCCCAGTTTGCACATTTATTTACAGCAGGAAGACAAATATAAGCCCAGATCCTATTCCGTGTACAAGTTCATTGAGTTTTTGTACTGTCAGTTTATTTTACATTAAACGTCATCTTTTGTACAACTCATAGGGAGGTATTATTCTATGCAACGGTATTTAAAGGAGTTACATTTGTCCTAATGACAATGTAAAAGCAATGCAACATTGTGATGATGAGAGATTCGTACCAATCTTCTCATTAACTGTTATGAAGAAACAAATAGTCTAAAATGTCTAACTAAGTTAGCTTCATTTACTTATCATTGATATTATGTACTTCAGTAAAATGAACTGCAAATGATCCACAGCTCTTTGATATTTAGAGAAAATTCAACCAAAATCATGTTTTACTATAACAAATAATCACATTTTGTAACAAAGTATGAGATTTATTTCAAATGCACTAATATGAAATAATGGAGATCTTACCAATTCATCTTTTCAAGCTCTTGTTGGATTGCGTGTCATACAATGAAGTCAGATCTTGTTTGAAAGCCCAGGAATTTGCGGCAGACAGGCTGATACTCATCCATTTGAGATACTCTTGGTAATTTTTTGGTATCAAAGAAGATGATGATGATACTGATGCTAATCCCAGTGAAAGGGATGATTGAGTCATCAAGGCAAAACAGCTGTTTTATGTGCAGCTCCCCCCCATCCCACCCCAAACTAATGGCTGATGATGACGGTAGCAGAGTGTAAGTGAGTGCAATTGACAGTGGAGTTGGAGCTTCCTCTGGGAGGAGGGAGAACGAATGAATGTGAGCGCAGGCAGCAGGGTGGCCATGAAACATTCATGCACCTGGGGACTCTTTGCGTAAGGAGAGCAAGCTGAGCCAGTAATGAAGAGCAGAGCACTTTTAATGGCTCTGTTTGTCCTTTTTTATGAGATTAGCTATGCTCTGGCTCCTTAAATAAATTGCATTACAAGTCTAATTTCATACAGTGATAACTTAAAGGTACAGCCTGCTGCAGTGCCTTATTACATTTTGGAATAATTTAATTATGGTTAGCTTAACTGATAATTGGTACCACAGGTGTGCGGCTGGTTATAGCTCGGAGCTGGACAGCAGAAGGTGAGTTATTCCCAGCCCTCGGACCCTCTGCCCCGGGCTGTTGACATGACAACGCAGCGCCAAATGTGGACATCCCCAGTCCCAGTTGTGCCGATTGGAACAGTTGTCCCTCCTTAACTCACCCCGCTTAGCTCGTGTATGGACAGAAAAGGCGAGAGAGGAGGTGCAGAGGAATGGCAAGATGAAGAGCAGAAGAAGGGAGAAGCAATATTTAGACAGCTGCACGTGTATCGCTGTCAAAGGAAGGGGGGGGAGGGACGGGGGAGTATTTCTGTGTCCTCAGCTAGGCCTCAGACAAACTCCCGCTGCAGTATTGATGTCACTGCACCCTCCTGACAGCAGATTGTAAATCACAAGTCGCAGTCATCTATAGATTTACAAACACCTGCTACCTCTGTTCCTATATCATTGTAGCATGTGTATCTGTCCAAACTGAGGATACTTGTTCACACATGTTTCACGGTTAACCTATC